CCCCAAAACCCCAAAACCCCAAAACCCCAAAACCCCTTATTTTAAAATAAAGAGTATTTTGTAAAGTATGATAATAAAATTGATTACGATTAATAATATGCGATATTACGTAGCTTCCGTAGCGTTAATCATAATAATAAATTCTTAAACTATACTGAATACAATGGTAAGTAAATTACACCTGCAAAAAAGCATCCATTTTGAACTGAAAACTCATTTTAACCTCTGCTATTTAGTATAAGAACATCGCCAAGCATGTGTTAAGAGTGTCATCAAGTCGAGCAGCCCCCCTGCCTTAGTAGTTAGTGTCTCAGCCAAGAAGGTTCTTCCCATTCTTTGATTTTTCCTAAAGAGGCAGAAATTGGACAGTTCAAAATAAGATTGTAAGATCACTATTATGAGAGTCATGATGTGTTTTTAGTAATTTAATCAGTCACCAATCGATGTGCCACCAATTGAGAGAACTGAGTATGAACCTAACTACTAGATTAACCTTAAATACAAGGATCTCCACGATATTAAGATGGAAAATGTAGTTTGGTCGGTCAGAGTAAGTATAACATATTCAAAATCTTATTAATGTCGACCTAAGCAATTAAATATGAAAATTCGTAATTAACAACCTATCTATAGTTAAAGGGAGCTGACATCGGTCACATTGAACTCACAGATCTCAATGGAAAAGGACCATTCATTTACAGAGCTCATCACCTTCACATGCATGGCCCCTCGGAACATAGAGTAGCTGGGGTTTAACACGATTTAGAGATGCATATTGTGCACGAATTAATAGATGGCCCAGATCACGAAACATACAAGGAATAGTTAGCAGTAGTTGGAATCATCTTCAAAGTAGCAGAAGAGAGTCACCCCTTCATTAATAAAATAAAAACTGAAGATTTAGGACATATTGAAACAATAAACTTCAACGAGATATTCCAGACTATTACTCCTGATGAACACAAAGGCTTCTTTCACTATAAAGGGTCACTTACTACCCCACCTTGCACTGATATTGTTAACTGGAACATCTATAGTGAAGTTCTGCCCATTAAGGAGAAGCATTTAAAGCAATTATAAGGTTAATGGCATGATAATCTCCATGGCAACTGCAATTTTAGAGAATGCTAGCCACTGTATGGACGAAGGGTTGTCAGAAATTTCCAATGAAAGATATGAAAATAAACCACTGCTACAAGAAATAAAAGGGCAATCAATATAAAGTATAAATAAAAGCAATATAATTCTACTCTAGTGTTGTTCTTAATATTTAAGGTATATTTTAGCGACACAATCTTACTCTAACTTAATCGCTATGGGGTTTTGGGGTTTTGGGGTTTTGGGGTTTATTTTCAT